TGGCATATATTTTATATTTTATCCTAAAAATGGATTGGCTTTAAATTTTATAAATTCTCACACATTCTAACACTGATAAGCCTGGAATAAATAATTGTTTTTATGTTTCCAGTATGACAGGCTAATAACTAATGTAAATTAATTACATTTTATGGTTAAAAATTGAAGAATTCTTTAAATTTACACCACCTTTAAATATAGTTTGTAAGATGCTTAAACATGAACTTTACTGTTTTAACTTTAAACTTAAAGCAAAACAAGATATTCTTATCTCTTAGTTATCATCATGAAAAATTATGTAATAGAGTCTTCTTTACTGAAAAAAATCCAGATTTTTGTAACCAAAATTAAAGTTCTGGGATCTTTAGGTTTTGTTTAGTTTAGTTTTTTTCTACATTGAAATATAAAATTTATGACTTAAAAGTGCTTTAAACATTTAGGTAACAGATCTGACTTACTTCTTAACAGAAAGTTAAAAAGCCTTTCAACATTTTATAGATATGGTGAGACTCCTGTATGAACCTTGTCACTGACCCTGTATTGAAGGAATGAATTTAGGGAAAACAAACATTGACTAATGGACAGATGTATTTACTTTTCTGTATATACTTCAGTGATTATAGTTTTTAAAACGATAGTTAAGGATGGTTTTTTAAAGCTGAAATTTATTGCATTATTTGAGGAGAAAGATGTAGTGTTTCTTTTCCTTGACAGAAATATGTATGGGATTGCAATCAGACAATGTGGGTTTGAGTTGCTATGCCTACTTTGTAAGTTATAACTTCTGTGAATTTCAGTTCCTTCTAGGATTATGTTCCTAGAAATGTGCAGGGCACACAGTAGGATGCAAAGTCTGATTTTACTTTCTTCCTTCACTTTCCAATTTTGCTGATTTTTTGAAGATAACTTAAAAAATACCAGTGTGAGGGAATTATTATAGAAAAATGTCAGTAAATATTGATACGCTTGGAAGTATCAAGTGGACTGCCTTTTAAAATTCAGTTCGAGGGCTGGGAATGTGGCTTAGTGGTAGAATGCTTGTCGAGCATGCATGAAGCCCTGGGTTCGATTCCTTAGTACCACATAAAAAGCTGGAAGTGGTGCTGTGGCTCAAGTGGTAGAGCAATAGTCTTGAGCAAAGAAGCTCAGGGACAGTGATGAGTCCCTGAGTTCAAGCCCCAGGACTGGCAAAAAAAATTAAAAAAATTCAATTCCAGTTTTAGAATTCATTGAGATTGGGATAATAAGGTAACACTGCATTTTTTCAAACAAGATTTAGGTGTGATAATTGCTGCTATCCTTAAAGCAGCAAATCTGTGAAGGTTGGCAGCACATAGTTGGAGCAGTGATTTGTTTAAGTGATTTGTTTGATCAGGAAGCAGGAGAACCAGAAAGCAAACTCTGTAAGCTTATTTCTCCATACAACAAGAGCGTTCCACGGGAGTTTCCAAATAATCTGCCTTGTGCCACAACATGGAAAAGCCTCAATCTAAAAAGAGACCTTAGTTATTAATAGGCCTGGATTGGAGTCAAGATAGAACTGATCTATACCAAAGTTACACTGTAAGGAATGGATTATGTTAGATACTAAAGGGGTTAAATTACTCCTTCAAGCATACTTGTGTTATATTTGTATACACACACCCTTGGTGCCTTCAAAGTACAATATTAGAACATTTAACTAAAGGAAAATGTCTTTCCTCAACATATTTCTAAGCCAATTGAGAGGTCATTCAACAGATGTCACAATACTAATGTTGAATTACCTTGTGTAATAAGAAAATTACAGTACAGTAAGTGAAGATAGTAAAGGGAAACCATTCAATGAATTACTCTAGAATTTCAAAATGAAATGATACCTTCAAAATTAACAGTGGCACCATATGACTTTAGAAAAGCGAGTCTGATAGGGAACAAGAAATCAAGAGACAAAAGTGAAACTTTTCTGTGTTTATATATGCCAATTTGAGGTTAAGCTAGAAGAGCTAATGTAATAGTATAGCTTTCAGTTGTTCAAGAAGTACATTATTATTAAACTGTGTAGCAAGATATTTACTAAAATCTGACTAAATTCTCATAGAGTTGTTTAGTGTAAAATTACAATAATAGTTTTTGTTGTATATATATATATACACATATATATGTATATATATCCTTATGCTATTTGGTTTACTTAAAAAAAGGCTTACTGTTTGGAGACTATAATATGACCAAATAATAAAAACATAAAATTTGACAGCTTTAAATGATCACTAGCATTTCTTAGGGAACAAACCTCACTTACAGTTAGGAAACAATATTTATATTTAAGGTTGAAAAGCCAGGATGTAGGAAAATTTTGCTAATTTGGAAGATGACCTTTAAGTGCACCAAAACCAAATAATTTGTAGGCTATGACATAGGGCACATTCCTACAAAATTTGTGTGAATACTGCTTTTAGTGGTTCTTGAAAGACAAACAAAGCTGGAATGAAATCTTTATTCCCTTCACAAATAAGACGGCGACTAACAAAGGAATACAGCAGCACTCTTTCAAAGCTCACCATTAAAATGAGGTCTCTGTAGCACAGTTAATGAGATGGCTCATAGTGGAAAACAATCTGTTTTTAAGAATGTTTAGATCAAAAGTAATTTCTAATCTATGAAATAAAGTCTCTTCAATACCCTTCATTCACCAGTAAAGCTTTTATGTTTGTATTATTTACTTGAATCAGATGTTTTCAATTTTACCTTTTTTCCCCAGTACAAATAGTTGACATGGTTCATCAATACTGACCAACAGTTTTATTCTTTTACTTCAGAAAAGAGAGATTTTTGAGAGGGGAGAATGAAAAAGAGAGAAACATCTTTGCCTAAACGATTTGCAAGCATCTGTGCTTTAAGCTACTTTTTATGAACACTCCTTAGTAAATGACTCAAGGTAAAAAAGCAGAAAAGCATCCAATGTTAGGAAATTGCAATCCAATACCATGTAATTTAAACCTGCAGTTGCTTCTCTTGTACTAAATGACATACAGATGGGTAGCTTAGTTCTCTCAACTTTGGGAACACAATTGGTCTTTTTGTATGAATGAACATATACCAACAAAAACATTTCAGACAAAATTGTTCAGTTGTAGTTGTACAGATTTTAATTACCATTGCCATTGAAAAGAAAATTTTAACCATGATATTTAGTCAAGTTTTTATTTAGTGAAATTCTGACAATTAAAAAAATACAGTGGTCCCAACAAACAAAAACAAAATTACTGTGTCATAGGGGAGCTCTATGTGGAGTCTTTTGAGGAACCTCCATACTGCTTTCCAAAGTGGTTGAACAAGTTTTGTAGGAAGTCTGATGAATTGAGGAGAAACTCACTTATCACAGTCTACTTAAAGAAAAAACTGTTCTTCATTCATGCTGTTGAGAAGCTTTCTCTGCAGAACAGACAGTCCTTGGGGAAACATTTTTATTTGTTCCTTAGACAATATTAAAAATGTAACTAATAGGTATCTGGATAAAGCCTGATATATCATTGGGTCCAGTGAGGTGTGAAGTCCACATATCATTTGTTCCTGTGGTTCTTTGCAGGCCAGGGAATGGGTGCTGTCCATTGTTGAAGGTCAGCAGAAGCAGTGTGATTTCCTCAGGCTTACCCAAGGACCTACCTTTTCTATTTGCTCTTTTCTGTCCTCATATTTTCTGATAGAAAATCAACCACTCTATCTTGGTGGCCCTGATTCTGGAAGTTGATACCCTTCTTCGATCCCACAATCAGAGTAACTGGTTAGTTAATTTTTTTCTGTGTTTAATTTCCCCGCTCTCACATTATGTGATGTTAGATACCTTGAAAGTAAAAGGAGTAGAAAGCATTTCCATTCCTAAATCATACTTCTTTGTATTTCAAAAGAAGTTGAATTTAATATTCAGGAAACTGAGAAGACTTTCTTTAGAAACTTCAAAACATGGTAAGAAATCTTTACATTTAGGACCATCTGCAAGCTTCTTTCCTACTGTGATGGATGGCAAAGAAAAGCAATTTTACTGCAGTTGAGTAATGGCTACCCTGTCCCACAGTTATATTTCTTTTCAATCATTTGTGCAGGTAAAATAAAATACTACGTATAAACAGGTGTTGTCTGAACATTTTACTGCAGTCTGTACAGATTGAAATAAAAGCTGCCATTGTTATTACAGTCACAGTAAAATTAGTTCACCATTCAAATACACTTAATCAGTGAAGTCTTCCTAGCTGTATGTTGCTAAAGGTCTCTAAATTAACTGCACTCACTTTTCTTCTGTGCTTTGACTTTTCTTCCTTCCTGTTTTCCTCTTTGTTTAGAACTTCTTGATTCTGTCTTAATAGAAATGCCTTCTCCTACTGAAAATTTTCTTTTGAACTTGCTCCCCTTTTAACATGGTAGCATAACAATCTTTAGAGAAACTTTTATTTCTAAAGACTGTGTAGAACCTGGTGAAATTTCTGAAAGGATAAAAAGAGCAGTTCCTAGTTGTAGAAAAATATACCTAGGAGCTTAGAGAAAAATAAATAGGATGATAATTAAGTCTTCTAGAATGGAAATTAAAAGATGACACAGTTTTAAGCTATTCAAGATGCAAACTTATTAAATGCAGTTATATTTGACTTAATATGCCCATAATCTTATATATACAGTGTCAATACTTACAAATAGACTTAGCCTCTGGAAATAATTTTTAATAGGATTTTTAGGTTAAGAGATAGGGTGATACCACCATTTTGCAAATATTCAGGAAGTTTTTAGTATCACATGCTAGCACATTGTCACTGCTACAGTAGAATCACTTGCATCTTAAGAAATACCTTTTTAAACTTAAGAGAAATAATCAGCTGCAGCTCAGGTAAGATTTTCTGGTGCATTAGGGAGTGGTCTGGTCATTGACAAGTGACTGTAGAAGCTGTGCTGTGGCGGCTAGCCAAAGCAATTATTTAGTATTCAAGCTAAAAAGCCTTGTTCTCCCATATCCTCTCTCTTTCCAGGGTCATGTAGGGATAAAAAGAACTGTAAGGTGGTCTTTTCCCAGCAGGAACTGAGGAAGCGGCTTACACCCCTGCAGTACCATGTCACTCAGGAGAAAGGGACCGAAAGGTAAGGTGAGCTATAATGAAAAGCCATTAAGGAAGAGCTAGTTTACTTCATCCTCCTTTGAATCCTCTTCCTTGTCAATTAATTTAAAGGATACTGTGCTTACTTACTGGATTCAACAAATTAGTACTTCTAAAATGTTTGGAACTGCGATTGTTTAGGTTAGGACTAAGTTTTATTTGTCCTTTCCTCTGTTTAATGAACACCCTATCTTATGTAAAGTCACAGGGCTTTTGTTAGGGCCTGTTTTAGTTCACAGCAAAATGTGTGGAAGTGATCGCGATTTAGGTACATTTTTTGGGAAGACATCACAGGAAGCAAAACCATGAGGGACATGGAGCTATGCCAGGATGCTGAAATTTTGAAGGTGGCCATTGTAAGCGTAGACGTTTTGGCTGCAAAAAAGAAGGTAGCATAATTTCGTTCCTTTCTACCCCACTCCAATTTCTTTTTGAAGCACATGTGGAGAAAGTATTTATTGGCTCATTTGTGGTTGGAATGTCAAAAATTTCAATAACTGCCCTCACATGGCTTTGGTCCTTGGAAGTTCGCCCTAAAGTCCTGAAAAAAGAGTTTGTTCGCTTCCAAGACTGTTTTTAGCGAATAAAGTCTCTCTCAGCTGATTCCAGCTCAAAAGCAACTTGCCAAGGTCCAGCGATTTTGTTGTCCAATTTATACCATGGGGTTTGGCCTAGGGCCGTAAACTTACCTCTGATCCAAATTTATTAATGATGTAACTTTTCATTCATGAAAAGTTACTGAAAGAGCTCTTTACCACACACGGGATCCTTGTTAATAGGCAACCCTCTCTTCCTGTCACAGTATCTACTGTTTACTGAACTTACTAAAATGTTGGATCTCTGACAACGTCCACCCTTACTGGACAGTGAGCCAGTGGTGGCCTCAATCTCAGCTCGGGGGACTTCTACCCATCCTGTTGTGTACACGACTAGCAAAATGATTTAATGCACACAAACAACCAGAGATTAGGTCATTCTTAAAAATTCTGTTTATAAAAAAATTGGGCCTCATAAAGCGGGTGAAAGGATAATAAAAACAAGCTGCGGAGCACATAGACTTTTTGTTGGGCCAGCACAGCTGATTTGTATTAGCTCAATGACCTCCTAGCCTTTAAGATTGTTAACTTAGAAAAATATTCCCTTAAAGCTGCAATATTCCTTTTCAAACCAAAAAATAAAACTTCCACTCAAAGTCTTGGCCCCTTTCTGCATTTTCGGGTATACTCTTAGACATTGTAGCATAGCAGAAATCTTATGTAATACACACACACACACACACACACACACACACACATTAATCACACTACAGACTTTGTATAGGAAAAAAGTGTTACATACCTAGGTGTCTTGATTTAAAAAAAAATTTAACCCAACTAGTTTGATGTAGCTATTTTCACATTTTATTATGTAGGTTTAAAATGTATTAGTATTATTTAGAGTTCCATATGTTTGATTTGTTCTAAGACAAAAAGCCCTTGAAAAGAGTTATTAGAGAAATGTATTTTAGGCGCTAATATGTTTTATCCTTGGAAGTGAGGCTGGCTTTGCTTAATTGTTTTTGATGATCTGTTTATTGTTTATTAGTGCCTTTGAAGGAGAATACACACATCACAAAGATCCTGGCATATATAAATGTGTTGTTTGTGGGACTCCATTATTCAAGTAAGTATATTAAACACCTATAGGCATGTAAATATCACAAGTGAAACAAATTTGCTATTGCTGTGCACTTTAGAATCCTTACTTCTTTTTCTATGTCTACTTCCAAAATAAAAAGTAATTATAGACTTTCGTGGTGAATTACTGTTATACACTGGTTGATTTTGCAGTGTTTAGATTTCTTAAATACCCAGAATTAACTTGTTTATTTCAATAATTACTGTGTTTGGCAGTTATAGGATTTTGGTGAGCACAAAAATATTTATGTATTTATTGATTTTTCTACTTTCAAGTGATGACCCAAAATGAATTTATTGGTCCCTATGGAAGCTTCTTCATATACATCACGCAGATTTAATTATACTTAGCAAATGGGCTATCCATACTTCTTCAAGAAGGAAAAAAAATCTTTATTGAAAAAATATCTTTATTGAAAGTAATGTGAGAAGGCTAATGGATAATTAAAGATAGGTAAGAATGAAATCTGTGAGGTTAACAGTTTTTACATTGATCTCAAACCTTTAGTTTAAATATCTCAAGATTTTACCATAAAATAGATAGTAAATAGTCTTTTATGAACACAGTAGTTAATTCAGACAGTGTATTCAGGAGAGCATAGATCATATTCAGAAAGGACAGTCTTTATATAAAAATGTATTTATCTAGGAGGAAAAGATTCTAGAAGTCCTATATTTCCCATTGGCTTGTTAGATTGGAGGTATAAAAAGACAGAAACCTTATCTGAGAGTAAATGTCATTTATTTAAAACAAAACTACAGAGTTTCTTAGGGGAAAATCGATTAAGAATATATACTTGTGGGGCTGGGAAGGTGGCTCAGTGGTAGAGTGCTTGCCTTGCATGCACGAGGCACTGCGTTCCATTCCCCAGTACCACGTAAGTAAAAAGAATAAAAAGCCGGAAGTGGTGCTGTGGCTCAAGTGGTAGAGCACTAGCCTTGAGCTGAAGAGCTGAGGGACAGCACCCAGGCCTAGAGTTTAGGCCCCATGACCGGACCCCCCCCCAAAAAAAGAATATATACTTGTAGTTTGTAAAACTCACTTTATATCTCTCCATAAATGTTGTCTTTTAATACACTAGCAAGTATAGATTTTTCAAAAACAATGGGAAATAGTCCCTTAATATTTTTAAGAGTTTAAACTTTCCTTAAATTGAACAGACCTTATTGCACATTAATATTTGTTGAGAATCTGCTCTAAATTCTTATGTATTTATTGTTCATGCTAAAAAGACCCTTCAAATTGTCACCCATTTCCTCTCAGAAAACACATGTCCTTTTTATCTTAACACTTTTAGCTGGTATTGTAATGCTTGATGGAACACTAAAGATAGTTGCTGAGCCATGTTAAATTTGTTAACATCCCAAATGGTAAAAATTGGTCACATCCCTTTTGCTTTTTTAAGATTCTCCATCTCTTTCCCTATTATGTAATTCACTAAAGTACTGGATCTAAGGAAAACTCACTGTTTTAAATAAGAAACAGAGCCATTGTAAATGAAGGATTTAACCTACTTGAGATTTTGAATTACAAATCCTTAAAAAGGACTCTTATCCAAACAGATATGGGTGGTAATCAGATTTCATATTTGATATGACATTGCCTCTGTTTCTTTTAGCATTCTCATAAAGATAGCTTTTTTTTTTCTAAAAATTTTAAGGAATGTGATTTAATGTTCTTATCCTACCTGCTCTCGTTTTAACTGAGTGCTTTTCTCTTCATGGTTTCTTATCTAATTTTTGAGGGGCAGTGGGAACCCTTTGCTTCTTCTCCTTCCCACTGAAGATGGGTTTGTTCATTGGACTGGTGCAGCCATTTCCATCTGGAGAATGTGTCCCCTGAGTGATCACAAGTCAGGTGCAATAGGGCATGAACAGCTTTGATAGGTTGTTTTCCCCCCACACCCTACAACGGTAGGGGTGGAACTGAGGACTAGACAAGGATTACCACTTCATGAAAGGTGTCACATTTTCCCCTTATCCCAAATATTGATTTATTTTCCATGGGTACCATTTCCAGTTCATTGGAGTGATTGCTCAGAAGAACATTACTTCAGAAGAGACCAACAAAAGCATAGCAAACAGTGTTGGCAAAACTATTAAAGTAGTATTTCATTTTGCAAGGTTCCTGGCACAGCTCAGTCCACCTCCTTGTCTATCGGTTTGTCTGTTTCTATATCTGTTGTCTTTTTATCTGCCTACTTGAATGGGCTGCCATAAGAACATGTTTCAATATGCTTCTTTAAATAGGAAAAAAACCGAGAAAGGTGAAAAAATTTAGGCAGAATTCTAACTTGATTGGTTTATCAGTGAGGACTGGATTTACTAATTACTTCATAATGATGTATTTCTTCACTCATTAATGACTCAAATATGTAGCTTTAAGGCTTTGATCTATCATCTATCTATCTATTTATCTATCTATTAGTATGTATGTGGAATATATAAAACTAGAGAAATTTATCTTTTGCAGTTATTTAAATGCCTGGTATGATGTTTTAGTTGTTGATTTAAAATATATGAGGAAGAATATATCAGTCTGCACCCAATCAGAATATAGAGCCCACATAATTATTCATGTAGGAAAGTTTAATATAAAGAATTATGAACTGTAGCAGAGGATTTTAGTGGTGAGGGATTGGCTAGTGAGAAGTGAAGAGAAATTCTAGAGAATACAGGAATAGCAAACATGACCATTAGGGCTGAGACAGAGTGTCTGAGAGAGAGCTTCCTCCCTTTCCTTTCTCTGTGATAGAGAGGGCATGTTCATAGTTACTAAAGGGCAGACAACTCATAACAATACCATGATGTGGCAGCTTGCTGGAAATCTGCCTGTAATCTACCCCTTAGGGAGTTAGGAAAAACCTAGGGCAGGAATTGTCTCAGAGGAGGCAGTCCACTACAAAGCCACCCAAGGAGGGGCTACCAGAGCAGATACCGGCCTATAGGATCCTATGGATCCTCTGTGTACTGAAAAGAGCACCAGGCACTGGAGAAGATGCTCCTGCTATAGCCACTGGGCTCTTGGGAAGCTGTGTGTGCAGCTTCCCAGGGAAGCTTCCCAGGAAAAGTTTTTTGCACAGGAGCTGGGTTCTAGAGAAGCTGTGCATGTGGAACAAGTTGGGTAGAGGAGAAGCTATGTACACAGCCAGAGCTTGGCACTGGAGAAGACACCCAGAGCTGCAGACATCTGGGAATGGAGAAGCTGTTGTACTACAGAATTCCAGTTCTAGAAAAGCTGTCTGGGCTAAGGAAGCTTGTAGAGCAGATATGTTCAAACCAAAAAAGAAGAGGTCTTTACCTCCTGAGGTCTCTTACTTGGGCCCTCGACTGCAAAGCTTAATGGCATGCTCACTGACAAAGAAAAAAAATTGAAGGTCCCAACTCCATTTTCTCAGAGCAAGCAAATTACATGGATTTAGAGACAGGAGGAAACAAATTGATATCTGGTACAAAGTATGTCATATCTATATATGCACATATATATTTTAAGATGCTTTTTAGAGATTCATAACCCAAAGTTTAGTGAATTAGTGGTATCAGAAAACCTCTACAAAACTGGTTTTAAGCTTGAGATATGAAGTATGGAACCAGTTGGAATGTGTGTAGTGTTTTTTGTTTTTTGTATGGAAGGGAGCAACAAGAGAATTAAGCACAATAGACTAGAAGATCATTATGAGAAATAATAAGAGGAAAAAGAAAGAAAGAAGAAATGAAGTACTGAATTTGAAAACATTTAATCATATCAGTATGGAGCACTTGTTCCCTCAGCTTTCATTTCTGTTATCTAATTACAGTATATGTGTACACAATCCTCTTCTTTTATGTGAGTGACTTCTTTACAATAAAGGCTATTCAATTATTCTCATTTCATTTTCAAACATATATTCTAAATACATTCCCTATTTGAACAATATACTACTTTCTTACTGCTTACCAAGTACAAAAACCTCATTCATAGGCTTCTTATAAACCAAATGTGTAATTTATTCCATGGTTCATATTTTCTCCACATTCACAAATTTTACCAACCTAGTTTATTTCTTATATAGTACTTCTGACTTTCAGTTAGTAAATTAACTGACAGAAGCAAGAGTGTTCTCACCTCTGGTTATTTGAACTTTCACAATTTCATAAAGTGAATTTATTACACATCAGATAAACCAGAGAAGACATTGGTAAAATAATTTAATTCAGAAAATATTTTGACCACTCATATTATGCTTTGGCTGATACTTTGCCAGGTGTTATTGAACAACAAATAGAATATGTTTGCTAAACATTTTTTTTCGAAAGGCACTTAAGGTTTTATTGGCATAGTATGAAATGCATAACAAACAGGTTTAAAGATGGCAAAATATTATTAGTATTATCAATTGTTTCAGTTTGAAAATATATTCTTAAATATATTTTCAGTTTGAAAATATATAACTGCATTAAGTTGGCCAAGGATTCACAGAAAAGATGAAACTACATTTTATTATGTAGAGAAAGCAGTTTAGTTTTTTTCCAAGTAGAAGAACCTGGTAGAGAAAGTTGCATATGACAAGAGGAATTACAGATAAGATCAAAAGTGGATTTTCCAAGGAAATAAGGAAGGTGGGGAGATGGTTTATGTTGGGAGTAGTGGAAGATATGGCTGGAACCTCATAGGGGATCAATTAGTGAAGTCCTTGAATATCAGAGAAGACATTTAAGTTCCTACTTGAAATCCTTTAAGCCCCAGCATCTTTTCTTTCTTTCTTTCTGGTCCTCTTTCTATCTGGTCCTCCCAGGGTGAACTTTGTTGTTCCTCATCTCTCTATGGCATGTCATATGTATTTCCAATCATTACAATTTCTACTTTGTTCTTGTCTGCCCTATGGTAAGTGATGCCCTAATAATACTTACACTGCTCTTCCTAACTTTATCATAATTTGATTTTTTTATTGCTTATATGCATGTCTAAACTTTGTTGGTTGGTATCTGGAAAAATTTTAAATATAG